CGTCTCCGACCGATGTCGCCATGCACTGTACCGACCCAGTGGGCCTCGGATCTGATCCTCCCACTGGCTTCGAATACTCTTCTGACCGCTGCTTGTCTGTAAGCAAAGTCTTACACGCCTTGTCCGGCGTCCTTCTGGGCGAGGCAAGCAAATCTCGCTTTGCTTCCTCATAATATGTACTGACGGCGATGCGCTCGTCCATCTTCTTGAGCTTTTCGTTAAACTCTGTGCGGAGCGCACCCTCTTGCCGTCTAGCACTGTGCTCTTCAAACTCCTCGCGCTGTCGGAGCCTCTTCTCCACGTATTCTCTCAACCTATCGCCTTCAAATCCATACCGAATTCCGTTGGCAATAAAGCTGGCTTCAATGATCCACAGTTCCTGTGCCATGCTCGCTTCGTATCCTGGCGTGGTCGCCAAATGTTGTGAACCCTCTGGTTCTCTAAAGTGTCAGGAACGAACGACCCCACACGGCACGAGGACAACTATTATTCTCAACAGTATATTTCACTTCCATCGACTAATACCAATGAACAATGAATGTATGAACAACGGAATGAACTGAACTAACTGAATAACTAACACTAAAACCACCAGGTAGTTATAGCGTGAAAATGACAGCGTATATGAGAAAAGCATACACATACAACATACAACTACAGCGCACACAGCAAACCGCACATAGCGCATGTAGCGTATACTACGTCGTAAACATCAGCGGTACGGCGGAGTCGGGATACAGCTGCATTGGAACGAACACAATGTCACAAGCGAGAAGGCCTTTCACTCTCGAGAACTTGTGGTTTCACAACAGCTGGACAGCAGGCGATGATGTGGTCCATATTTTCTCCGGGTGCACCACATACACGACAGAGGTCCACGACATTATGCCTCTTGTGGATATGGCGCATATTGCTTCTCGTGGCAATCACCTGATCCTGGCAAGCAATGAGAAAGCCTTCCGTTTCAGGACGCATTGTCTGGGATCTGAAACAGGAAAACGAGAGCTGCATGTCCAGGATGCCATTAACACGTGCCCAATAGCGACCATGAAGAGGCATCGCTCGAAGTTCACGGCGGCGGTTGTCATTGAGGGCCTGTTTAACAGTCTCTTTGTTAGCGGTGTCCAGGCTCGTCAGGCGAAGGCGCTGCAGGACAGTATTTGCCAGCTTTGGTATTGATTTTCTAGAGGGACGTGATTCATGGTGCTGGAGAACAGCGGCCAGGGCAGGGACATCTTCCCGATCCTTCAGGTACTGAGCGAGCCGGATGCAAGTACGGTCGTGGAGATCTACGATGCAGACTAGGCCACGACCTCCCTCACTCCGCGGTAGATATAGGCGACGGATTGAGGCACGTGGGTTTTGGGCCCTGCTAGCAGTAAGAGCCTTCCTCACCGTCCTGTCCAGCGGGCGGAGCTCATCCGCGGTCCAAGGAATGACTCGATGAAAGCAGTACTACACAGCAAAGCACCTCCAGCACATCTGGTTGTGGAGCGAGGAACGCATTGCGTCCCTGCGTGAAGCTCTTGCTACCTGCAATCTGCAGTATGATCCACATCCCACTGACCTTCAGCCAGTAACCTCATTCTGGAACTTCTGGAGAGACCAGATACTGAAACTAGCCGTGCACCACTGCCAAGTGACCAGAAGCAAGTCCCGCAAAAAATATTACGCCCACTCGTCCCTGGATGACGAAGGATCTCCTCAGCCAGATCAAAACAAAGCACAAACAGTTGCGTACCTACAAGGCGACCCAACTAGACTCAGATTGGAAACTGTACACAGCCCAGCGTAACCGAGTAACCGCTCTTTTGCGACAGGCTAAGTCCGACTTTGTCCAGCAAACAACGTCAACGGGTACAAACCTCCACCGTCTACTGAAGTACCTGAAGAAACCGCCTAAGCAAACAATTCCCACACTATCGACAGCCAACTCCACTGCAGCCACGGCTATGGAGAAGGCAACAGCTCTCAACAAGTTCTTTATCTCCCAAAGCCAACAGACCATCGACAAGACCACCTGTACTACACCAGACATCAACACTACCCCTGACATCAGTCATACTCTAAATACAATCGCAGCAACAGTGGAAGAGGTCGAGAAGCTTCTAAGCAGTCTAGACACTGGCAAGAGCCCAGGCTTTGACAACATCCCAACTCGGCTCCTGAAAGAAATTGCAAAGGAAATCTCCCCATCTCTCACTAGTCTCTACAGTCTGTCCTTCAGAACCGGAGAAATACCACAGGATTGGAAAGACGCAACTATTACACCCATCCCCAAGTCGGGCAACCCCTCCCATCCTACCAACTACCGACCCATCTCCCTGCTCAGTATAATATCAAAAACACAAGAAAAAAATAGTCCACTCTCGTCTGTACAATCACATAGCACCGCACTTACCCTCCAACCAATCCGGCTTCAGGAAACAAGACGGGACCGAACTGCAACTCGCACGGATCGTCCACCAAATATCCACAGCTAGGGATGCGGGGAAGCATGTTGTAACGTGTTTCTTCGATCTCAGTAAAGCCTTTGATCGTGTATGGCATCAAGGCTTGCTGAAAAAGCTGAGCCACTACGGTGTCGACGGCAAGGCTCACAATTGGCCTACTTGACAGGACGCAGACAAGCGGGTGCAGGTTGAAGGCACAACATCCGCCTTCATACCAATACCAGCGGGAGTGCCCCAGGGCTCGGTCCTGGGACCACTTCTGTTCCTGGCGTACATCATTGACCTGCCCACTGCCTGTGAAAATGCTACAACCTCGTGTAGCCAATTCGCGGACGACACCGCACTAATTGCCATTGCAGGCAGCTACATTGAGTGTGAGGCTGCGCTACAAAGAAGCGTCGATGCCGCAGCAGAATGGCTAGAGCGCTGGCACCTGCTAGTCAATAAAACGAAAACCGTCATCCTCCCCTTCTACCATGCTAACCGACCCCCACCACGACTACCCGAAATAAAACTTGGCCAAACCCTACTAGAAACTGTACCACAACATCGTCACCTCGGCATCATCTTTCAGCACGACCTAAGATGGTCAGCCCACCTTGACTCTGTGCTGAAGAAAGCCGTGAAATCTTTTAATATTCTCTTTAGGCTCAAATCAACTCTACACACTAAATCACTCTCTCTCATTTACAAAACGTATATCCTGCCTATAATTGAATATGCATGCATTGCTGTCACCCCGCTCTCAATCGCAGCCCTTGACCGTCTTGAGCGAATCCGGCGCAAGGCGGCCAGAATCCGCCTCCGTCTCCCCCTCTACACTCCTCTGGATCATTCAACACTGCTCCATCGGCTCAAATGGCCGACAATGTTCTCTCTCCGCAAAGTGAAGCTCACCCTTCTTGCTCACTCCATAAAATACCAATATGCCCCACAACACATACGCTTGCTCAACACCCCGCTCAAGTTACGGCCCAGTACAGCCTTCGACACGCACGCACTTGGCACCTCCCACCCTCCAGAACCAATCGCTGTAAAGACTCCCCACTGTAGAAGTCCCTAGAATACTACAATGCCCTCCCTGCTAGCATTCGTGACGTCTCCTCCCGACCTGCTTTCAAACAAGAAATCTGCTCACTGCTGATTAACTCAATCTGCTCCTGCAGCGCTCACCCTCTCCCATACTTGTAAAGTTCAAAGTGATGTAAATCACTTTCCAACTGTTTAACCCACAATCTCACCTTCTCATAAATTTATCTCTTATTGGCGATGGTGCCATCGTGAGAATTATAGAATTCAGACTGTGCCAAGGCCATAGGACACCACTGGCAGAACGTAGGTGTTGATTGCTCTGATGAGGTTTGGTGCACACAGTGAAGCATCCGTGATCAAGCGAAGACGGCGACGGAACTCAGCGATGGCAGATTGTTTAACTCCACCAGCCTCGATTCCCAGGAATTCCCGCAGGCCAAGGTAGAGGTACACCTCGCCATCTTGCAGAGGATGAATGATCGACTCTGTTAGCAAGGTTGACCAAGGCTCTGCATCCTGGGTTGGCTTAGCGGCCGGGCACACAATCTTCGAGCACTTAGTGGGAGATAGTTGCATGCCAACCGCACCACCAACGCACTCCACAATGTTGATCAAGGAGTCCAGTCCAGTACTGCTAGCGGCAAATAGCTTGACGTCATCCATGTACCATAGATGCGACAACAGGGAATCACGTGTGGGTCCACAGCAATATCCTATGCCGCTTCTTGCTAATTCGTTTGATATTGGGTTGAGACCGATGCAGAACAGCAGGGGAGACAGAGAATCACCCTGGAAGATACCCCGTCGGATGGATATTGGCTCGCTGACACCGCTGCTAAGGCACAGTTGTGTGCTCCATTGCTCCGACAGCGTTTGGAGTGTGCGGATGATCCTAGGATCGAACTTGTAGATGGTAGCAATTTCCCAGATCCACTCTTGGGAAAGGCTATCGAAGGCCTTTCGGAAGTCTAGCCATGCCATATTATTATTATTATTATTATTATACGCAAAGCAGTAGTGGCCCGAGTACAGACCCTGCGGGACACCTCGGGCGCATTCCGTGGTACTACCTAGACTGGCATTTACTTAGACTCGCTGATAGCGATTAACCAGATAGATGTGTGAGATCTCCCTGATGTTGCCAGGACAATTTAACACACTCAGTGTGGATTCTTACTTTCTCCAGATACTGTAAAAGGCAAGCACTCGGATAAGGTGACCACCTGTTCTGGAAGACCACTGAATCAAGGACCCAGAGCTAGGAATGCTTCAGTCAAATGACCCTGGATAAGGAGACCACCTGGTAACAAAGACCTCGGTTTCAAGGTCCCTGGAGTGATTGTTTTAGACAGGTTTAGCTGTACTGTACTGGTCCAATCAGTTGGCTGGAACATTTTGGATAATCTTCCACTGACTGCTTTGGTAGTTATGATATTTTTAAACAATAAATAGCACACCAGCATTTGCTGGCCATATGTTCTGTACTCAATCCAGTTATATGCTCCTTGTGCACAGTGATCTTCGGAACAACAAGCTGGCCATCGATCATCGACTCTGCGCCCTAACTCCGTCTGTGGGTGACTACGCCATACACTTATCAGCGGATTACCAAGTCCGGAACTACATATATAATGGTACAGTGCTTGAATCATTGCTTGTCATGGCATGCAACATGTTATTATCAGGGTGGTTAGTTTAAGTGCTAAACATATAGTCATAAGCAGTGATGTGAATAGGCAACAACATACTCGCAACAATGGCATTGTTCAGAAGGTGCTCTGATAGCCATTCATACCTTTACGTTACCATCCTATGTTACTGTATCCCTTCTTGCACTGGCGATTTTGCGCACTGGCGGTGTGTTTCTTTGCCTAAAAATTCCCTGGGATTTCTTCAATGAATTGTTGAATTGACACGATTGAAGTCACCGTCAACCGGGTTGTCAAAATATTATTTTAGCAATGTGTTGGCATGTGCCGTCATGAGGTCAATGTGCAAGCTAGGCAAAGCAGCTATATTTCGTTTTCATTCTTGCTCATTCCCATGTACGTGTGTGTGCTCATTCCCATGTACCTACTGATGAAAATGGGTGAAAAGCTTTTAGTATTATGAAATTGACAACCTTGTTGTTGTGTGTATATAAATTTTGTTCGCCTACGTCTCTATTTAAATATATATATATATATATTCCCTCAAACCAGTTAATATTTGAAACTCGGATGTTGAGCCATAAATACATCATCGTCCAGTAACAATCGACATTCTTTGTTCCGTTGGGACTGTAGCTTTTGCTCGTTTTCATTGCGCTTGCCTTCCCCTCTTTGGTCTTTCCATAACCTTGAACCTTCCAAGTTGGAAGGCTGTCGGTTAGCGCTACGGAGATGTGTTGAAGCTAGGTGTCAGGACATCGAATGTCTCAGTACTCTGTCAGTTTTGTGCCTAGTTATTGCACTTTCTGACTGTATATAGCATCATGTTACAGTGATGGAGAGTTACTCTTAACTCGTATCCATAATGTCCTTTTCTCTGCCACATATATAATTATACTCAAGTCTGTGGACAGCAACTGTTTCGCTCTGTTAGAGCTCATCAGCACAGCTCAGAGGACCGAAGCGCAGCTCTTCGCAATGAAATACGTTTCCGTGAAGCAAAGCATTTTTATTTTTTAAATAATTATATATATGGCAAGAAGGAGGATGAGCTGAAGTGACATTTGGATTACTTTATTTAAAATGTAAGCGATGGAGACGATGCAAAAAAAACCTAAAAGGTAAGGAAAATACATGAAAGAAGAAAAAATTGATGGAAAAAAAGATGATTCGAACAAGTTTTCGTACAACGCTCTTCAGGAATCACTGTTGTACTAAAGAACAAAATGAGAACAAAGGAAATAATATAGCAATCAAGGTAGGGCAGCAGGATACACTGACAGCACAAAAATTACCGAGGCGTGATTTCTCACAAAGGTATGCAGAAAACAAGGGTATACAAGTGTTAGGTACCTCCTCCCGTACAATCTTACCTACAACCTTTCCTAAGCTGGCCGGCCTGCATGCAACTTTACTACGTCATACTCACCTTTCGTTCCATTGGCATGGGTACCTACTTGCGTGCCCATGTTTGCCATAGCTACCCACTGCCTTTATACTGCATTGCTTCTCTCTTCAAGAATCTCTTTCTCTCTCTCTCTTTCTCTTCAACAATCTCTTTCTCTCTCTCTCTCTCTTCAACAATCTCTTTCTCTCTCTCTCTCTCTTCAATAATCTCACTCTTCAACGTAGTCGTTCGTTCGTCTTGGTCTCTTGTCTCGTCGTCTCTAATAAATGTCGTTCCACCAACCTACCTGTTCCCGTTGTCAGTTGTGCTAGTGAACAAGAAACCTCTCTTGTTCGTACATGTACAAGTACAAGCACAAGTAAGAACTAAGCGTCACAAGTGTGTATCAGCAACAAAAACAAAAAAGTGAGAACGAGTGATAATAATAAAAATAATAAACAAGAAGGTGACCAAACACATTTAGGCACAAGTGGCAAAAACGTTGCCACACTACACAAACGAACTTTATTTGAACAATTTTAGGCTAATAATACTATCTTTCTGGACACACAAATTTGGCTTACGAATGCGCTGACAAACAGCTTCCAAAACTTTTAACTGCAACAGATAACCATGACGAGCATGGCACAAAACAAAAGAAACAGGACTTAGAATAAGTACGGCAACAGTCAGTACTAGAAACCAAATGACTTGCTCCATCATCCACACCGGTTTGAATCTCTTCCTCGTTTGCATCGTCCTACGTTTCACCATCAACGCCAGCCGTAGATGCCGTTGCCTTCATGTCAGTCGTCGCCCTCTCCAATTGTTTCCTGTATGTTTACTGTTAATTCATAGGTCCTGTTGCAATCTGCTGTAGATCTGCTTGGTCTGTCATTTGCTGCCTTGTATTGTGGATTAGTTGGTGTTGTTGTCAGATGTGAAGCTTTGTTTGAATTCTTTATTCTCACGATGGCACCATCGCCAATGAGAGATATGTTTATGAGAAGGTGAGATGTTGTGGGTGGAGCTGCGGGTTATGCAGTTGGAAAGTAATTTACATCACTTTGAATTTTACAAGTATGGGAGAGGGTGAGCGCTGCAGGAGCAGATTGAGTTAATCAGAGTGAGTAGATTTTTTTACGAAAAACCACGAACCTCGAGAACAGAATACTGCATGATAGAGGTGGTTGCAGACGCAACTGTGGTGGTGAAACTGGAGCATCTCCGCCGACCTGAGGTCTCGGCTTCAGCGACACTTCAGTGAACCAAAACTGGGGAGGAGTAGACACAGGGGGAGGGGAGGAGGAGTACATTTATATAGAGGAAGGAAGACGGAAAGATGATACATGTGATAGAATTAAAAAATAATAAAAATATAAAGGGGGGACTCGGGAGCTAGGGTGCAAGCGGAGAGGGTGTTCAGGGAGTGTTCAGAGGGCATCTGTGGCTGAGCGCCAGTCTCGGCTGCGGAGAGACTTGTAGGTGCCTTCCTTGAATGCCTGCATTCCCTTCTGCGTGGGAAGGTTGCGTAGCAGGGCAGATGGGAGACAATTCCAGTCTTAGATCGTGGCATGGGGGAATGATCGGAGAGCACTATTACGGGCTCCGGCGGGCAGTGTCGGTGCTAGTTGATGCTGGTGGTGAGTGGAGTGCCGGTGCTGGTTAGCAACTGCCCTCGGTGGTGTCATGGTTCTTGTTTGAAAGCAGGTCGGGAAGGAACGTCACGAATCCTAGCAGGGAGGGCATTGTAGTATTGTAGGGACATGTACAGTGGGGGGGAGTCTTTACAGATGTCGGTTCTGGAGGGTGGGAGGCGCCAAGTGCGTGTGTGTGTCGAAGGCTATACTGGGGCGTAACTTGAGCGGGGTTTTGAGCATGCGTATGTGTTGTGGGGCATATTGGTATTTTATGGAGTGTGCAAGAAGGATGAGCTTCATTTTGCGGGGAGAGATCATGACCGACGTCTTCTCGCTGTAGTCACCTTTTCAGTTCGATCACAGGTCATGACCGGATCAAGTGTACGGAACTTTGATGTGTCATTTAGGATGACGGACATCTTCTTGATTCTCGGTGTGACCTTCGACCGCAATCTGCTGTTCCGTAAACATCTCCACCAGGTTGCAGTCAGAGCCAGCCAGCGCCTTGGCTTCTTCAGGAAGGTGTGCCCAGTACTCGACCGCAACGGCCGCCTCAGCATATACAAAGGCTTCATCCGCCCATCCATGGAATATGCTCCCCTAGTCTGGCAAGACGCAGCCCGGGCCAATCTCGCGAAGCTTGACAGCATCCAGCAACGGTGTTTGCACAGCATTGGCGATGGGACCATGTTCCCAAGCTTATCAGTGTGTCGTCAAGTCTCGGGACTGTGCTACCTGTTCAAGCTGCACTACATTTCCGGTCCGGCCCAGCTGACAGACATGCTGCCACCTGCTGCCCCTGAGCCCGCCCGCCCCAGAACCCGCCATCAACACCAAATGAAACACTCCCATGCTTTCCAGTTGTCAAACCCCCTCCTCGCAACAAGTCCTGACATCCTACACTGATCCTTCCCGTTCGGCCTACTCACAACATGGAATGCCCTACCCTCTGCCATCCTGAACGCTCCCCATCCAAGGCAGCGCTGCAACGCTTCAAAGTAGCTGTGTACAAGTACCTCCTTGAGCAAACTTGTGGGACTGCTGTCGACATGTACACCACAGACTAGCTTACTAGCTGATGGCCTAACTCTTCCTTCTTTCATTTTTAACCCCCCCCCTTGTGCGTATTCAAGGATACCGAGACCATTGGTCGGAGGAGTCCACAACGCCCCAGCTGCACAGCTGCGCTAGTGGATACGTGGCCAAGTCAATAAATTCCCTTTCTTTACCCAATGTGCAAACTCAAGCTGGATACAAATCTATTTCATTCCTTGGTGCTGACCGCTTTAATGCGCTTCCCGAATCCCTTCGCACAAGTCATATCCCCAAATCATTTCGCCGGGAACTTAACAAATCCATTCATCGTGGTCACCCTGTGAGAAGACCTTAGGGTCTGTTGGGAATGCCCAAGTAAAATCATAACATACTATACAATACAATACAATATTACTAGTAGTCAGCCCCGACTCAATAGGTATTTTTCTGTCAACCCTCAACTTCTGTGTTCTAGTCGTTTCTTCGTTCTTCCTGCATGCACTTTGTTATCTTTCTTGTTTGTAGTCAAGTGGTGTGCTCTTTTCTATATCATTCACGCCGGAACTGCTGCTGCATAGCCTCAAGTCTGAAGGCTTGGCAACTTCACGCCTGCACCTGCCTCGTGCGCTATGATACACGTCGCCTATGATACCCCTCAGAATTTCCCACCTTGCTCCCCCTTATGTTCTGGCTGCCCGTTTTGGATCCATCAGTTGCCTGATGATCGTAGTGTTAGGTACCTCCGTCATTCTCACCTACGTCATTCTCACCTTTCGTTCCGTTGGCCTGGGTAGCTACTTGCGCACCCATGTTTGCCATAGCTACCCAGGCCCTATATATTGCGTCAACTCTCTTCAGATCTCTCTCTCTCTCTCAACTCTCTTCGAATCTCTCTCTCTTTCACAATGTAGTCGTTTAGTTCC